CTACCCCCCCCCCCCGCCGGTTTTTAAATGCTTTTTGGATCTCTGTGGCCGGTTTGGGGGGTGTGTGCCGCGGTGGAATAGCTGATGGAATAGGTGCTTGGATCTGTGTGTTTTGCAGAGCACAACTTCCATGATACCGCCCGTAGTACAGTCTCAGGTATTGTGGGTACTTTAGCAGAAATAAAGTACCGCGTGGGAAGTATTTCAAAATCGAGCTTGTTTTTGCGAGATGAAGTTTGTGGTGGTTTTTTTGTTTTGTTTTGTTTGTTTTTTAAGAAGAAAAAGTTGGATTCAGGAGTTAGGTGAACGCTTCCAATGCCTTTCTGACTCTACCTTCCCGGTCCCAGACTGCGGCAGCTCCCGGCCAGGAGAAGGTAAACTTCTCTGCGGAGGTCACGGAGGTGTCTGGTGGCCCTTCCTTTGGGATGACTAAAGGTGTCCCTTCCACCCTCAACCCAAGTCATTGGAGTCTGGCCCACCGGGTGATCCACCCCGCTTTGGGACGGCGTCCCCACCGTGCTCCCTGCTCTCCCCAGAGCAGCGGGTGGGAGAAGTGACAGGAGAAAATTGCTGTGGGTCTCCTGCCCGGCAGACACAGCAGGGCTGCGGAGAACTTTTTGTTGCTGCGGTGACTTTCGGTGATAACAATAATGGCAACTTTTTTCTAGAATTCTTGGGCGTCGATGTAGTAAACAAATGGTTGTGTGACAGGCTTTGTGCTGGGCTTGAACAGTCTGTGCTCCCCAGCTACCTGCTGTGCCATCAGTGGTGAGACTGGCGTGCGAGTTTAACACGTTGATAGGTTTGTTGATGCAGAAATTGAAAGGTGAGATGTCTTCTGTGTAATACCTTAACTTCTTCCTTTCTCTAACCCATATTGTGTGTTAAAGTAGCCCAGGAGAGATTTGTTGTGCTTAGTCTTGCTTTTCCTTCCTTTTTTTTTTTTTTTGGTGTTGGATGACTGCAGAAGAGATTTGTGAAGCCCATTTCTTTTTTAATTTTCTTTCCTTTTTCAGTGGTTACTCAGAGATGGGGGGAAGCAGGTAAGCAGCAGGGGGTGTTCTGGAACGCCTTTATTTGCCTCCTTCCAAGGCCAAGTTGAATTGGTGTCTTGCTGTGCAGTCTAGTGTGTCATATGCAAAAGATCACTTCTGATTTCAGTCTGTCAGAGCATTAAAAGAGAATAACGCTTTTGGATGTGTTGCATTTTGCAGGGTTTGTAAAACTCTAATTTTAATGTGGTGTAATTCTCTTGAAGAAAAAAAGAAATTATTACCTTTACTTGTCTTATGCCGCTTAAGTAAGGACAGGCAGATGGAGATGACCAATGAGGCTATACTCTGGTATTGTAGAGTTGTATCCATTAGCATTTTCTCAGAAGTATAATTAAAAATATTAATGTAATTGGAACGCTGAGTGGCAGAAAAGCATCAATGGGATTCATCACAGAAGCATGACTTAAATTGGAGACTAGTTAAAACACAAAGTTGGTCAAGGGAACATTTTCAGTCTTATTTAGCCTTGTGTGTGGCCATTCTAATTGTACCTCACTTGATATGGACATTCCTTGGGGATGGGAAATCCCATCCATCTTTGGTGTTCTTTGGAAGATGGATCTGTAAATAAGTCAGAAGTGTAAGTAGAAAAATACTTTACTGATTGTATGGGAGGTTATTTTTAATACAGTCAATCAAATAATCAAATGTACTCACAGGCACTTTAATGTGAGATTTACTGGCTCCTTCATGTGGTATTAACTTAGGTCTTAACGTTTCTCTTTCCAGCTTCTCTTTGCCATATCAGTTTTGCACTGGGTTGGAATTGTGCAGAACTTTGAATCACTACATTCTTTATCGCGATATGCCATCTACTAATTGCAGCAAAGCATTTAAACTGCGGCTGCACGTTCTGTCAGTAATCTCATGCCCCTTCCTCCCCACCAAAATTTGAAGACTGGGTTATTTTGGGCTGTTCAAAATTCATGTCAACAAGTAATCCTCATTTTAACTGCATGAATTATGATCCACAGGCTCCCGGTTCTAAAATGGAACTAAACTTTAGTTTGGCAGCTGAAAATGGCTGGCTTAGCTGTAACAGAGTTCTTAATTTTTATTTTTTTTCAGTAGTACTACATATGAAGAGGGAAATGAGGCAAAGTTGCAAAGATAATTTTTTTTCAATGCAGCCGATGAAGAGCTTACCACTTCAGTTGTCAAATGGCATAGCTTGGTGAAATCGGTTAAATAGCAGATAATTATAACTTTGTAATGTCAGCGTAATGGAATTTGTTATACCTTAAAAAGAAAAGTTCTGTCTTCTAGTTCAGACCCTTTCCTGGTACTCGCTCTTTTTTGTAGCACTTCTTGCATAGCTGACATTGCTTGAACTTGCACAGACTCGGATTGATTTTGTGCCTGTGTTCATTTTTGCATCAATTGCTGAAGCACGCTTCTCATACGAATGCAGTTAATTCTTTTGGAATTTTCTTGAAATACAAGATCATCAATAGGACTGTTCTCTCTTCAGTGTCTAACAGCTAACGTTCTTTAAAACACGAACTGTAGTACTTCATCCATTCTGAGAACATGTTCATCTATAATAATGAAGATTATTTTGTATTTCCTTCTTGTGTGGCAGGGGCAGGTTTTCAGAAGGTCTGTAGGATACAACTGGAGTTGTATCCTCTGCCTGGTATTTTTCAAACCAGCTTTTTTTTCCTCTGCTGCTGTCCCATTTCTGTGAAAGCTCATTTTGGTGGAGAGTGGAGGGAGGAGAGGTGTGGAGGGGGTGGATCAGGGAATGAGTGCAGTGACGTTTGAAGAAGGAACTGTCTTCAAGAGGGGGCCAATACGGAGACCTTGGTTCAAGAAAACAGAAGGAATGATAGATTTTTTTAACAAGGATCATGGAGGGGTAATACCTTGGAAAGAGTGGTGGTATGTGTAGAGCATCTTCCCTTTGAAGCAGTCAAATTTGCAGCCCATTTTTCCACCTTTTACTGTACAGCAGATATATAAGCTGGCAGTTTTCCCTTTGGTTATTTGAATTTATCCTGATATAATGTGTTCTACTTGTTCTTAAAACAAGGATACTATTGCGCTGTTATTTTTTTATTTTTAGTAAGGTGGAGTATTTTTTTTGCTGAGAGTGGCTGCTAATTTTGCTTGTATTCACACCTGCATTTTAAATTGAGAAAAGTTAGGACTTCAAGACAAATGCACGGGATTTACCTCAGTCTTTAAGGTTGAGCTCCGAATTAAGCTGAAAATACTTGAAGTCGTGAGAGCTAGGTATAAAACCAGTACCAGACGTGTGACCTGCTGCCCAGGTGATGGGGGGACTGGAAGGATGGACCCAGGTCTATTTTGGTAAGTGTAAATAGGACTTCTTTCTGAAGCTGTCACTGGTGAGCAAGAAGGCTGAAGTCTTTTTATGTTGTTTTTTTTTTTTCTTTTTTTTTCCTTCTCATTCCTCTCACCATGTCAGAAGCCAGGGCACGGTGATGTTTTATTCAGGTTACGTTTGCCATTATTTTTGCACACGAATGTTAAGGTTTAAAAATCCTCCTTGTGATTCTTTGACTTGGATTTGATTTAGCGTGTAGTCTTGAGTAGCTGTTTTTAATGAAGCAGAAAAGCTCCCAAGTTACTGGGGAGTTTGCAGGCATTAAGAAACATGTAAGTTGTGTTCTGCTGGTGTTCTGCTGTCTTCTAGCTATTGAGGAGTTAGCTTTCCTGAGCTAAAGAAAATTGTCTGAGCCGCGGTTTACGTGACTCTGGAAAGAAAAATAAACCTGAGTGGTCTGTGTTGTTTTCAGTAGATTAGAACTATTATGATCAAATAATCTTTTAGTGGCTTTGAAGTTCCATGTACTTTTGTAGGTCCATTCACTTGAAAGCCATGCGGCTCTTGGTGCACGGTCAGTTGATTATCTGGGAGGACAAATCACTGTCATAAAGTTAATAACTGTGGATAATTCTAGCAAAAAATAGGAAATTTTCTTTGTGAAGGTGATTGTCGGTTTACGAGAGTCTTATTTCTTGTGTTTGCAAAGCCTAGAAGTGCATTAGCTCATTGTGTGAGTGCTGTTCTTCTTTCAGACTAATGGGCTTGAAAGTATTTCTTCTGTCTCCATTTGTCTTCCCAGTACCAAAGTGGGGATTCAGCAGAGACAGCTGGATATTTATTAGTCTGAATACTCCCTGAAACAGCTTCAACTACAGGTCTGAGCCTTAAGGCTGCTGCAGTTTCAAGAAGCATTGAGTATATACGCTTGTTTCATGCTGGGCTTTTTCTTTTCTTTTCTTTTTAGTTCCCACTACTAAATCAGAGTTACTTTGTACTGGGTGTCTTAACACTGTCGTTTATGCCTTCTATCCGATGGGCCTGTGGGTTTAGGTTTTGGCTACAAAGGCTTCCCCCTACTGTGTGCTTGTTGAGAAGCTAATTTTTATCTTGCTGAAGGTTTGGGATGGTCTGCTGGACTATTTACA